ACACGACGACATTATATACAATAAGTATATCCGAGAAATTCGCGTAAAAGACACAAGCAATGACAATTTTATAACATTAAGTACAGAGGTTAATGATCGATCGTTAAATCTATTATTGATAGCTCGACTTTAAGCTTTTATAAGTTGTTGCATTTTTTGCTGACAACACCTCGATAACAGAGTACAAAATATTGTAAAAAATTAATAGAGAATTAATTACAATGTGAATAATTTTTTAAATTTATATACAACCTATCTCTCTCTCTCTCTCTCTCTCTCTCTCTCTCTCTCTCTCTCTGTCTCCCTCCCTTTGAGATAATCATATTCTTATCAAAAATAAATGCTCTCATTTACTAGATAAAATTGTTTCTAAATGAATTAAATATGGGCATTAAGATTATTATTTGCTACGCGTACGAATGACTCTGTAATAAAAATGAGAAATACAAAATGACGAAATCATTAAAAATATATATAATTTTAATTTCATAAAATGTATCGAACGATGTCAGTCTACATAGACAACTTTGGAATAAGTTGAAAATTTGAAGATTTTGTTTCTACTAAATCTTTAATGTCAGCTTTTAATATTATAAAGACATCTTTAACAAATTTAAATTTGCTTATATATATATATATATCTGTATGTAGATATATTTTTAAATTTAATTTAAAAAACAAGCTCCATAAATTGATATAAATATTCGACTTCACTATATTATTATTATAGAATATTATAGAAATGATTAAAATTGTATTGGTTTAGTTAGGTCTCATAAGATATTTAATACAAACTTTAGTTTCATTTACAAATATATACAAATATATAGATGACAAATATTTATATTATGAATATTTAATAATATTGTAATAAAAGAATTGTATTTAAAAATTTAATTACTTTATAATTTACATACAATGTGTATACATTATGTAATTATGTATATATATATGCTAACAATTTGTATATTTCAAATATGTATATGACTTAAAAAAAAGATAAATTACCTGGTCTACTGAAGAACATTATATTACAAATTCATTTAACATTTATTTATTAAGAAAATTCTATCAACTTAATTATATATATATATATATATATATATACATACATGGTATGATTAACTATATTACTCAGAATAATTTTCTATAACATGACATAATTAAAAAAAAGAAATACATAATTGTTTTTCACCTTTCATATCAACTCATAATATTTAAGAATTTTTTTATTTAAACTAAGCTATACTATATTATCAAGTTATTTTATTGAATTTTTCATTGTATTTTGATAAATGAAGTGAAGGAAATAAATCGGTTATAAACACCATATAATATAAAATAATTACTTTGTTCAATTTAAATGATTTCAATTTAAATTTAAAAATAAAATATAAGTATGAAAAATACTGACAAAGTAATAGTGTAATCTAACCCAAATGATAGCATAACTGTAATTGTAAAGATAAATGTGAATGTTTATTATCGAATATCAAATGAAATATAGTACAATTATAATTATAATTTTACTTTTAGTAATACTTCTTTTTTTTGTAAATAAATAAATTAGTTTTGCTCGCGTTAACTTGAATATTTATTACTAGTCATCGGTACTTTAAGTTTTCATATTATGTAAAGATTTTTAAAAATTTTAACTTTTGTAGACAGCTTTAATGTTTTCAAAATATCAAATGATTTAAAAATATTATATCATTTGGAAATATAATACTTTGTTAATACGCATTTGTTTAAATATATGATCCATTTTTTGGCATTTCAATTATTCGAAAATGAAAGTTCTTTTAATATGATAAAATACATATTTTATAGTCATCCAATATTTCATATTTTGATAAAGATTTCAGTATTTTTACGGCCTTTATTTTTCGTCATCGCATGAAATTTATATTCTACGTAATTTTCAATTAAAAGGGTTCATTTGATTGTTATACAATTATATAAACATTCAATAGTTTGTTTTGCATAATAGAACCAAACAACATTATTAAATCTCATTGATTTCCAATAAATATTTCAATTATACACGATTATTTATATATATCTCAAAGGATAGATAAATAAAAAAATCATTATCATCATCATCAAATTATGGAGATATAATAGCGAACAGGAATATAAAATGTTTAGTACAAAATTAAAAAGAAAATTAATAATGTAATAGGTTAAGAATATTATTAATGATTCACATTATTTTGCATTTAAATGCACTCATATTTATATTTCTATTCAGAATTTGAAATTTCAGAATGAATATTCATAGTAAAACGATTAAAAATGCCTGTTGTTGATTTTTTTTCTTTTTTTAATAATAATAATATTATTGACTAATGTCGTTTCAACATTCCTAAAATACAGTATAATCTAGAATTAGAAGGCTCGTATGGTATTAGCAATATTCAATATTGTCATAAAGAGTGTAAAAATTCGACAAGATTATTTATATTGAAAATTTAAATGTAGATTAAATGGCGTTGAGTGCATTCTTAATAAAAAAAAAAAAAGAAAAATTTAGGCTCATCGGTTTCAGCACGATTAATGCACAATTGTCATATATTGATTAAGTCCAACGAATTTAAACTCACAGGAGGTTTGCAAAAT